AAGCCCCTCCTGTTCACATTTGTGGCAGCCCACAACACTCTCCCACCTGACAGATAGCACCACCCCAGGCCTGGCCAGTGTGCACAGCTTCCCACAGTGTGCACAGGTATTGCTTGGCTCCTCCTCCTTCTGCTCCTGCTGCACCGCTCCAGGCAGCAGCTAATGTGAAGGAAGCCGTGGCGATGTATGCCAGGCAACATATGTCCAGCCAGACAGGGGGTACACTGCAGCCAGGCATCTTTTGCCCCAGCACGTGGGGCTCCAGCTCCAGGACACCTTCCATCCACTCAGCAGGTGGCTGCTTTTCACGTGGGCAGCCAAGTGGGTGGGAGGTGACTGAGCACTGGAACCAGAACCCAAATGCAGCTTCCCCCTGCCTGGCTGGGTATGTGCTACCTAGCATGCATTCCCACGGCTTCCCCATATTATCTACGGCCTAGAGTGGCACAGCAGGGATAGGAGAAGGAAGAAGAAGAGTAGCAGCTGGAGGTGGAGGGAACCAAGCAGTACCCGAGCGGCTGCAACAGCAGCCCCACTGGAAAGCTGTGTGCACTGGTCAAGGCCAGGGCGGTGGTATCTGGCAAGCCCAGGGAGGGTGCAGGTGGGCACACAGTATGGGCTACCCTAGGTGGGAGCTGGTGGGGCTCGGCCCCATGAAGAGCACTGCAGGGAAATATGCAAGCCAGATACAATCAATTGGTGGGCATTCACACACAGACAGGATACAATCAGTTGGCAGGCCAGATTCAGCCTGTGGGCCTGTTTTGCCCACCCCAATCTAAACCATGCTCAAGCACATACACAGTTGTGCTAAGTATTACATACATAGGTTCAGCCTATATAAAATAGTTATAATATTTATAATTTATGTATGTATTAAGCATATTATAACTATTTTATATATTTATTAAGCATAATCCAAATGTAAGGAATTATATTTTTATCTCTGCATCCAAAGTTCTTAAAGGTCCACTGCACTAATTAGGAAAAAACAAAATTTTTCATTGTATAAGTCAATAATACTTCATAATAATGAAATCAAAAATGTCTTTTTTTGATTATTTTTGTAAATATCAAGACTTCCAGAACAAAGTATCTCACTTCTTTCCTTAATTGCACTCTGAAGGACAACAAATTCAGAACAATTTGTAAACAATTGTTTTCCTCACTACTTATTGTAGTAGTTTTGGGGTAATACTGTAACTTTGATGGTCTTGGAAAAATGCAGAACACAAATGTTTTTGTGGGTGATATCTTTTATTGAACCAACAGCTGGGAGAGATATAGACAAGCATTTCTCTGTGGTATTTTTTAGTGAATAAAAGATAATTATTTACCTGTTATCTCCCATTAGAGACAACTCATAATGTCTCTTATACATTTTTTTATTTACACAAAGAGTTTTGCACAGGCTTTTTTCTGCTAATTGGGGGGGGAGGGGGAGGGGGGGGTGTTGTTTGTAATAGAGACCAGAAAGATACTTGGTGCCTGAAAGCTTGTCTAGGTCCCTCCCAACTATAGAATCATAGAAAATTAGGGTTGGAAGGGACCTTAGAAGGTCATCTATTCTGAGCCACTGCTCAGATCATTCCAGCCAAGGTTTTTAATCGAGCTAGGCCTTAAAAACCTCCAAGGATGAAGATTCCACCACTTCCCTGGGTAACCTCTTCCAGTGCTTCACCAAATTATACAGTTTGTCCAATAAACATATCACCCGCAAAAGTCCTTCCCTATTTTGCTCACTAGGAGATCAGCTGTACAAAATATGCCCAAGAGACAGTCCTGGCTATATAGGGCCTTTAAGTCTCCACAAATAAAAAAAAGTAGAAACTGTGCCCTCTTTCCGTATCTTGTCAGAGCAGCCACCACTCAGGGGTAAAGATGGTTCAATTCTCTATGACAAGCCACTGAGAAGACCAACACACAAATCAGGAATGCTCTATGGTACCAAATCTACTGAATTAGGTGATGTGAATTGCCCACTTAGAGCCCACATCAGTCAAGTTGTAAAATCTTTTAAATTTTGTACTGCCATTCCTTTAGGTACATTATTGCATTATTATTTTATGTTCTTCTTCAGAGGTCAGAATAATTTGAGACAAATGATAAAGTATGCCACAATTAAAGAAAACCATCTTCAGTATCGTATTAATACATCACAGGTTATTTCTAGTCTACATCTTAGATCTCTCAAGTCAAATTCCATGAATATCCCATTTTACATTAAGCAAAATGTTTATCTGTGTATAAATCATATCCAAAAAAAAGTTATCCTTTACCGTATTTCTTATTGGGATTTTTTTCGGTTCTGGTGGCACATCCTGTGGAACAAATTTTACTGGTTCTTTAATCTGTCTCCTTGATCTCTTGGTCCCATCTGGTAAGGTTTCCATGGCAATATCTGCTTCCATGTCACTGCTACCTGCCTGGTCACACTCAGAGCACTGCCTAAAAAAGAAAGATTTTATACTGAAATCATAAATCACAGAACAAAAAAACTTTTTAAAATAAAAAATTTAAACAAGCTCACCAAAATTTCAAGTAGTTAATCTGTAAGTAGCTGGCCAGACAGAACAAGTCTATTTTAAAATTTCTCTCAGTAGTATTTAAGTGAAATCTAGACCTCTTGAAGGTAGCTTCACCGTTAGAAAAAAAAATACTCTCCTTCCTATTTCACTATTTTTGTATCACTGTATCCCTATTTTTAAAGGTATTCATGGAGCTCAAATGTGTTCATTATAACTGCTACAACTTCTAATCCTTGCCAATGAAGTACTGTGCTGAATTTGCTTTCTTGAGCAAATTACTGATAGAGATTCCTAAAAGAGTTGCCTCTGAGAAATCAATGGATCATTTTAAAGATGGTAGACTACCTAATTTAAAAGGAAACAAATATCAATAATTCAACCAATGAAACTTAAATACTACTTGTAAAATTGTCCTGCCCCCCTCTAAGTTCTGGGAGACATTAAAAGGCTACCAAGGATGTGCAGGCTGTGACGTACGTTAACAATGGTATTTTTACAGTTAAATAAGAAACCTCTGTTGTGCCTCTGAAAAATTACACATTCATCAGAACTTCTCTGATGCATGCCATTAACAATCTGCACAAAAGAAAATTAGCAAAATAAGATGCCATCTAAGTATATTCTCATTTGCAGAAAATAATCACCATAGCAAGATGTTTGCTCATAAACTCTAAAATGTTTAAGAAATTTGAGTTTGGACCCTATTAATAAAAGTGGCAGTATATTAACTTTTAGACATTCTTTTAATATTACACTAAATTCTAAGTGTTAATGCATTGCACAAACAAATTCCAACCCCCAGCACTTATTTTATGTTTATAAAACAGCCTGGAATAGCATGCCAAATATTTAACTACAGAAGTGAACTTTAAGTTAACAGACACATATTGATAATCATTTAAATAGGGTAGCATAATTTGCTTCAGCAAAACAAAAAAATATAGTATGCGTGTTTTTAGTCATTTATATCTACATCCTTATGAACTCCAAAGACAAAAAGGTATGCCTATGCGCTGTCTATAAACATCTTTCAAACACAATTCTAGATACTGAATAGTGTAATGCAAATTTAAAATTTTGTGTGTCTATGTGATTATCTTAAAGTATATGTTTTAAGAATAATATTAATTTTTGTTAAATTACTCCAAATGATCTTTTTTAGCACAAGGAAAGAAAATGTTTATAAAGCTAAGCACTAAAAGAGGTTTAACAGAAGTAGCTGTCCTGTTAGAATTTCAGCGTGAACAAGCCATTACTAAGTAAGTGACTGAAAAAATTCAATGCTATCGCTTGTGTTTTGAGAAACAGATTGGTGAACAGTAAGCCATTTATTTCAATTCAAATAACAGTTCTTTTAAGTCAACGAAGTTGCATTACAAAGAGTCCTTTAGGGATGTTGGTTGTAGCCTTGTTGGTCTAGAGACATAGGCAGACACGGTTCTTTGGGTAAATGTGATATCTTCTATTAGACCAACTAAATAGTTAGAAAATTGTTCTTTTTAAGCTTTCAGGCACAAACATCCTTCTTCAGGCACTGGAGAGAGTCTGTTGTTGGTTTGGGTGCTCTCCTGGGTAGATTAGAAGCTAATATGCAAAAATACAGGTCTGTGAAGATGCAAATGTAAGGTAGACAATAAGTGTGTGGGGGTGGGGGTGGGGAGGGGAAGAAAGAAGGATGTTGACTTGGTGAAAGAATGCAGCTAGTAAACTGCAGAGAGGTTACCTGGGGTTCTCAGATGGCAGGCAGGTTATAGTGTGCCATAAATTCAATGTCAATTTTTGCCATGAATGTATCATAAATTCAGTGTCTATGATATTTTGTATCCAGTAGATCTATGAAGTGAAGTTCATAGACTCATCTATTAAAGGTGTTTTGTAAATTCCCTTTGAGGATTAGAACTGAGAGACTGGAGAGAGTGGTTGTTTTACGAAAAGTGCGCACTCCCAGATTATTGGATATTTTTGTCTTTGATAGCTTTTTAGTGTACATTCATTTTGGTATGTGGTTGCTTGATTTCCTTTACATATTTTCCATCAGAGCATTTAGTGTACTGGATGAGATATATTACATTTCTGGAGATGCAGGTGTAAGATTCAGGAATAATGAAGGTTCTTGTTGTGAGGGGTAGTTATTGTGGGACTGGTGGAAATGTGTTGGCAGGTTTTAAATTTCTCATCCTGGATATAATTGGTGCGGTTTGGGCCATAGGAAGTTTGCTTCTGGTGATGAGGTTAGCAAGGTTCGGTGCTTGTTTAAAGGCTAGGATGGGTGGTTCTGGAAAGATCTCTTTGAGAATTGGGTCTCTTTCTAGTATGGGTTGCAATTTTTGAGGATTTTCCATATAGGTTCCAGGGAAGGATTGTATGCCATAACTAACTGTGTGTGATTCATGGGGATTTTCTTTTTGTACTGCAGCAATTCTTCATGTGGTATCTGGGTGGCTCTTTCAGAAGTGCAATTGCTCTCTCTGGAGATGTGTCCTTGTTGGGTAAGAGTTCTTTTGAGATCTGCAAGGATTTTCTCCTTAGTCCAAATTCGGTGGTATCAGAGGGGTTGGCTGCAAATTACAGCTTTCTTGATGTGTTTAGGATAACTGCTGGTTCTGTGCAGATATGTACGTTGGTCTGTGGGTTTCTTGTATGTGGTGGTTTGTATTTTACCACTCTGGATATTGATCATAGTGTCTAAAAAAGAAATGCTCATGCTAGAGTATGTTTGATGGGAGGTGATGATTATTGAATTTGTGATGGAAATCAATCAGAGATGCAGGTTTTCAGTCCAAACAATGAAGATGTCATCAATATATCTTAGGTATAGCATGGGTTTGATGGTGCAGTTCTTGTGGAATTCTTCTTCCAGGTGGGCCATAAAAAGTTTGGCATATTGTGGGGCCATTCTGGTGCCCGTAGCTGTGTCCATGGTCTAGAGGAAGTGATGGTTATTAAAACTGAATTCGGTGTGCGTGAGGATGAAATATATAATTCAGTAATCTCTTAAAGTCTGTACTCTGAGTTGTAGTCTTGCTCTGATAGATATGTAAGGCAGGCTTGGATGCCATCCTGGTATGGGATGTTGGTATAAGCTCTTACATCCATGGTGGGTAGGGAGGTATTGCTGGGAAGGTAGTCTATGTTTTTTTCGTAGAAAGTCTGTTGTGTCTTGGACAAAATTCAGTCTCTGGGTGACAAGAGGTTTTAGGATGCATTTGATGAAACTTGATATTTCCTCAGTTAGGGTTCCATGGTTGGATATTATAGGTCTGCCTGGGTTCCTTTCTTTGTGGATTTTAGGGAACATGTAAAAGTCCCTGGATTGTCCTTTATCTGCAGGTTTTATTACTGTTTTGTGCTTGGATCTTAGAGACTCTATGGCCCTTTTCTCAGAGGTGGTGTTTGTTTTTGATTATTTCATTGTTCATTCTTTCCCTGAAGCAGACAATATAGTGGTCAAGATTTGGATTTCGTCCACTGTGAGGTGTCCAATCTGAGTTTTTTTTGGCATTAATCCTTTTCTCAATGTTGTCACAGGATGAAGCACTGTTGGAAGTGGATTCATTTTGGTTGTGAAAAATATTCCTTGAAACGGAGGCGCTGGAAAAATTGTAATAGTTCTCCGCACTGTAGTATCTTATCAGGGTATTTTTCTGGACAGAAATTAAGGCTATTAGGACAGATTTTTCAGCTTTGGTAAGTGTGTGCATGGATATAGTTGAGGGTTGACTAGTTCCTTTAGTTTCTGTGGTGTCCGAGTGCTGCTGCCGGGCTATGGCCGGGAGCCCAGAACATCAGGTGGGTACTTCGACGGGTGGAGTGGAATTAGGCACAGACGCGTATTGGTTGCAATTAGGTTGTTTACTTATGCTACTGATGTACACAGCGTAGGCAGAAAACTGGCTTAAGTTGCAGTTATAAACGTAACGAGGGCCCCTTGGAACGAGAAGAGACGTTTTATAGATGGCTTATCGAGCATGCAGGGGAGAGGGTACGTCAGGAAGGTCGGTGACGGGGAGTCGTTGGTGGGTGATCAGTCCGCCAAGTTTACTCCAGGATGCGTGCGGAGTTCTCCAACTTGGGCGGAAACTGCTTTTACTTTTATATGGATAGCAAGCCAATTGCTAGTTGCCAAGTGGGAATAATTTGTAACCGGCCAATGGGTGGCGCTCGTTTGAACGATGCGGCCGTTGGACTTGGCAGGCTTTTCTACTGTGGCGGAATTTTTACTGTGCCAATCACGAGGGCTTGGGGATTTTCCACTGTGCCATAGGCATTCAATTAATGGGTTCTGACAGTTTCATTGATTATGAGGTTGGAAAGTTGTAAGATATTGGCGTTGTTTCTCTGATGGTTGTTTTGTGGCTGGAAAAGGTGTTTCTGTAGTAACTGGTTCCATTTCTTCTTATGTTGGATGGATATTGCAGAAAATGTTTGGTAGCTTTTTTGTATACGTTGTATAATGTTTAGGAATATAGCTGGATTTCTCTCTTTTAAGTTGTTGTAGCATGTGTTGATTTCCTTCTTACCCTTCCCAAAAGAGATCAATTCAAGGAGATGATTTCCAAGTTTTTTCTCAGTTTCTCCTGCATAGCTGTGAAGCATATTTGGAGTTGTGTGTAGTAGTCAGAGGATTGTAGATGTTCAGTCCTCTGGGAAAATCTCTCAGTCCTCCATAATGCATCTCATTGTCTACCATGCATTAACATTTTCACAGATCTGCATTTTTTTATATTGGTTTCTAGTCTACCCAAGAGAGCACCCAAACCAACAGCAGACTCTCTCCAATGCCTGAAGATGGGTGTTTGTGCCTAAAAGCTTGAAAAGAACAATTTTCCCAACTATTTAACTGATCTAACAAAAGATACCACTTTTACCCAAAGAGAGCTCCTTAATGTCATTAGATGCATGTTTATTTGATTAAACAGT